GTCCAGCCCTCTTCTCCGAGATTGCGCTTTGCTTTATATCACAGTTTGGGAAACCTACTTCAAAAAAAAGTGGGTACAACATCCCTCTCCAATGTTGTTGTTGTTCTTATTTGCCATCAAGTCAACTTTGACTTGGAGAGCCGCCCTGGTGTAGTGGTTTGAATGTTGGACTATGACTCTGGAGACCAGGGTTCGATTCCCAGCATGACCATGAACCCCTCTGGGTGAACTTGGGCAAGTCTCACTCTCTCAGCCTCAGGGGAAGGCAGTGGCAAACTGCCTCTGAACAGATCTCACCAAGAAAACCCTTAGGTTTATGGCCTTGGGGTCAGCATAAGTTGGAAATGACTTGAAGGCACACAACAGCAACAATGTTGACTTATGGCAGCTCTATGAATGAGAGACCTCCAAGATCCCTGGTCAGCAGCTGTCCTGCTCCGGTCTTGCAAAGTCAGTGCAGCATTTGTGGCTTTCTTGGTTGAATCAATCCATCTATAGTGTGGCCTCCCTCTATTCCACCTTCATGAGCATTTCATGCCATAGTGGTTTGAGTGTTGGACTACAACTCTGGAGATTAGGGTTCGATTCCCAGCATAGCCATGAACCCCAAGTCCCACTCTCTCAGCCTCATAGGATGGCAATGGCAAACCCCCTCTAAAGAAACTTACCAAGAAAACCCCATATAGGTTTTCCTTAGGGTCACTGTAATTTAGAAATGACTTGAAGGCACACAACAACAGCAGCAACAACGTTGACTTATGGCAACCCAAAAAAGATCCCTGGTCACCAGCTGCCCTGTTCAGGTCTTGCACAGTCAGGGCAGAATCCATTTCTTTCTTGGTTGAATCAAGCCACCTGTAGTGTGGTCTCCCTCTTTTCCCCTTTCCCCAGCATTATCATCTTTTCCAATCATGATATGTCCAAAGTACGATGGCCTCAGTTTAGTCATCTTTACACCTTCAGACTAAAAGGACTGCAATTCAGTTCCACTCATGGGAGCATTGGTGCTCTTATGGTAGGACAGTGGTTCCCAAACCTTGTTCTTCCAGATGTTTTGGGCTTCAGCTCCCATAATCTGTGGATGTTGGCCAAGTTGTCTGGGGCTTCTGGGAGCTGAAGTCGAAAATACCCAGAGGATCAAAGTTTGGGAATCACTGTGGTAGAATATATTTAAAGCATAGGGAGCCAGGAGAAATATTGCCAAATCTGCTGCCCTCAAAGGGAAAGGAAGACCCAAAGGGACAGAAATTTTGGCAGCCCCTTGAGTATTGGGGAGAATGGGTAGCATTTCCTAAAATTACTTATTGGATGACAACTGCCTGAATCTCTCATCTCTGTATATCTTGCCACCAAAGCATTCATTCTGCTCACCCTTTTATCTAACAAAGACATCCAGATGTGTTTGCATGGGAATGTGAGACTGGAATTTGGTGAAACTGGTTGGCTTCTGGTCAATGTGTTGCCACTTTTTGCTGCTAAATGCATGTCTATGGGACCTTTCATTTCTCAAAAATGAAATTGGGACTCCCAATTTTGGAATTGCTCCAGGGCCCCCCCAACCCCTTTAATCCGGCTGGTTGTATGTGTCAATATCCCACTTTTGGGTTTGCCATAAAATGAGTCAGATTGCCATGAAGCTGGACAGAGAAAAAGAGGGGCAAAAAGTCTGGGATAGACTGGAGAGAAAGTGTGATCCGCAGAAGAGCAAGCAACTGAAATGTAGGGAAGAGAAAGAGGAGGACTAGAATGATGTGTTGTGTATATTGTGGGATGTCGAGGCTGCATGGTCTGATCTCTTTGCTGGTTGAAAGAAAGAAAGACGGTGGTGGAAGGTGATTGCAAATTTACCTGAGCCTCTCCTGGGGACTTGTTTTTTGACTGCTGTTTCTGCATTAGCAAAACCTACCTGCCTCTACCATCCGAGCCCAAATTATTCATTCACGCCGCACGCGCTCTTCTGTCTACATAATTACAAGACACTTCAGGATTTCAGCCTGTTTGACTCTCCACTCATGGTGCTCTATTTGTTTTGATTGGAGCTGGAAAAAAATTAAGTAAAAAGCGACCAAGATGCACCGTATCTCTTTCCTGTTGGGATAGAGCTAGGGGACGTACATGTGCAATCTGTTCGCAAAGGAAACTGTGATTTGGCTGGGGTTTTCCGGAAGGATATCTGAACATATGGGTATGTGTTTGGAGAGAGATGGAAACAGATAAACAGACAGACAGACAGACACTGGCTGGGCATATTATTATTATTATTATTATTATTATTATTGAGCTAGAGTGGCTTCACATTGCAGAAATAAAGCAGTTTGACATAATTTTAACTGTCCTACAGAATCTTGGGATTTGTAGTTTGTTGAGGCACCATTGCTCTCTGACAGACCAGGTGGAATACCCCAATAAACTCCAAATCCTAGGATCCTGTAGAATAGAATTAAAGTGCTTTATTTCTGCAGTGTGGATACATCCACGGTAGATGATTTGCTAATCTCACTTTGTTACATTTGGATGCCTCCTGAACTGAGGAAAGACTAAGCTTTCTTGTTTGATGATGTACTTAGAAATCTCATTTGGGAGCTCTAGTGTGCTCATCTAAAGTACAGTTCCTGAGGTTCCCTAAGAAGAAAAATTCAGGATTTAATCACAAAAACTTTGATAAATCTGAAGAGTGTCCAAGAATACCTTCACTTAATGACTCCATTTCATCCTCTCCTGCATCATTTACCAACGCATTTTGATGGCTGTTTTAGTAACCAAGGCTTGCTGAACTATGTCCAGAACAAATTAATGGAAAGATTTTTGGATGATTTAATTGTACTTGAGCCAAAGGTGCTTAGTGGTTTCTGACATCTTGCAATAGCCTTGCAAAACAACAGCTAAGAAAGCCAGCATTAATCCAAATTGTGAGATTTCTGTATTACACTCACATATATGGTGCATTTTTATGGTGCATCTGATAGGCAGAGGGGTAAATCCTTGCAAGCAAAAAGTTTCCCAACAGACATAAATGTAAAAAACAAAACATCAAAAATGAGCAAAAACTTTCATAATCTACGTTAGAAGGAAGAAGAAAAATTGAATTATTCATTCTTGCATGTGAAAAACAGTAGCATGTGGCAGTTTGTAATAGCTGGACCACATGGGGGCAACTCTCCCTGATAAGAGCTTGGAAAAGTAACTTTTCCAGACTCTTCCCATCTGCTAAATATGATATGGGTTACTTTCTTCTGTCCTTGGGGACTTGCCCATAATGTCCCTTCCTCAAACTGGAAAAAACCCTATCAACCCCTAGACCAACCCAGTTGGCCCTCCACATTTGTGGCTTTCACTTTTTCAGATTTGATTATTCACAGATTTTATTACTATGTTCTTTCTAGGAATCTCTAGGTCCTCCAACACAACTCTCCCAGAGTTTGACCATAGAGTCACACTGGAGGACCTAGACATGTCTAAAGAAAACACTTCTCTAGGCATTTGTTGGTCCTCTAGTGCAATTCCATGGTCAACGTCTGCCAGATATTGGCCCTAGAGTTGTTATGGAGAACTTAGAGATCCCTAGAGAGGTGTTCTCTCCTATGGAAAAAGAGTAGGTTTTTTAAATTATTATTTGTAGTTTTTCCACTTTCATGGGGGCCCTGTGCCCCTAACCCTAGCAA